GAAACTCTTTTGCAATTGAGTCACAAAAAGTCATGCCAATTAGAAATATGGTAGTTGATGATGATCGAATACATGTAGTTGATAAAATTCAGGGCTTGTAAATATTTGTTCGAGCTACTGAAATTAGAAGTTACAAGTACCCAGAGGGCATGTGCTTAAAAAGAGATGTGACTAAGATTTGAAGACTGTTACTACCACCCCTCACCAGTATCTTGACTCAGTCATCTGAATTGGATAAACCCCCCCCCCCCCCCCCCAATAAAAATATACATAAGCTAACAGAGCTAACAGAGCATTTAAATTTTTTTCATAAATTATATCTCCAAGTTACTGTCAATGGTTTCTATTTATCTTGCACAGAAGGACATAAGGATATGATTAATGGGGAAATTATATATTTTTGAATAATCATATATTTTTTTAATAAAGTATTTAAGTTTTTTTTTTTTTTTTTTTGGGGGGGGGGGGGGGGGGGCATTTGCATTTTAGTCTTCAGACTCTGTCACCACAAGTTGAATCAGTCTGACTAAGACTACAAGTTGAATGCGTGTCACATTAAGTTAATGTTTTAGGTTGCTCATTAGATATGAAAAAATAAAAATGTGCAGGCCCTACGGTAGGCCTACTTATGCTACAATGGCGCATCGTGTATATTTAACTATATTATATATATATATATATACAACTGTACCTTATCAAACGACAGTTCATTAACCCAAAATAAAATGTTCATGTTATTAAATTGTAATAAACCTATATAGTATATCGCATATATAAATTTCAATTGTATGTAATAGTTATCCTTACCAACACAGAGTCCGACTCCGATTCGCCGTCACTAACAGGAGGAAGAATGCGCCTCTTCCTTGGCGGGGCAGCAGGGACGGGACTGCCCAGATCACTCGCCTCTGGTTCCGTGCACGTGTCATCATAATGCAGGTGCAGACTCTCCTCTTGACTTTCATTTTGTTCATTTTCAGAATTGCTTAATAAGTAATCCGACATAACTATACAAGCTTAAGACATTTGGGTAAGATTTGAAATCCTCCATCGTTTATATCCGCGAGCGCCCTCTTCTGATTGGTCATCAGCATCTCTCCAAATTTGGCAGGACCACTCGAGCGTTCACCCATTGATTCGTGTTCAATAATTTTTTATTCCATAGTATTACATACTATTTATTTGTATTTTGATATGTTGTTAAAACAAATTAAGCCTATGAAATAAAGATAACGACAGTTTTATAAAATTTTATCAAATTCTTTTGAATAAAAGAAACAAAACCAATGCTGTCCGAATGATAATGAGTCTTAATTACTCAAGACGATAGATCATGATCAAGAAATCCGCGCCAACTACTGGACAAAGAAAAATTTAGAAAATATCCAGACCAGTTATTTCAAAGGAAAAAAGTAGCTTAACTTTGTGATATTGATGCAGGTAAGTAAATTACGACACAAAAACTATGTCACATATATTATAATAGCCGTGATATCGGATGGGATAAGACCGGTGGTTTAAAAGAAGGGGGGAGGTTGCACCGGTCTTATTAATCCATCATTGTTTTTATGATTTAGCAATTTTTGAGTTCTAGCCGATATCATAGATCATAGACAAATAGAGACGAGAATCATAGATCTTCTTACCCATTATAATGTAATAAAAAAATGTGCTTTTTTAAAAATAATTTGAAAGCTAAAGAAGTGCAAGTATTTTACCAATGTTCTGGTTATTAGAGTATAATATTTATATTCATGGACAATTAATTGGTCCTTTGGAACAAATATTTGAAAGGGGTAACCAAACTATTATATTTCCATTTAACTGTATTTTCCATTTTTTCGAGGGGGGGGGGGGGGGGGTTTACACCCAAGTAAACAGAAAAGAAAGGCCAGACTTGTGTCTCTCCATATCTAATTATTACAAATGTAAACTTCTCATGTTTTTTTAATGCCCCCTATTAAATTCTATTGTGTAATAAAAATATGGAATACTTGCAATTATATGATATATCATCTCTGCATGGTGTCAGGAAAACCTAAAATATGCATCACCCAATTCAGTGATTAATTAACAAGTATGTAAGATGTACATTTTCATGAAGAAGTAATTAAAGAATTAGTTTAATTTTTTATGTACCTGTGTGAATATACTTAAAAAGATTAAAGCAGTAGTCTAAATCTTTATTGACTTGTTAGTAGTTTTTTTTTTTAACTAATTAATTAAAATATCAAGATTTTTCAAAAATTTCTCCCAGGCATAGGTAGATCAAGGATTTTTTTGTTTCAGGGATAGGGAGGTTTCCTCCCAGTCAATAAAATCTCCCCCCCCCCTTCCCCCGCCAAAAGTAAGCTCATTTCCCAAACGTGAAAAACCTATTTCTTGGGTTGGGGTGGGGTTATAGGTACTGATTTATATATCGACTTCATACCTATGTCTTTGCATTTCAATTTCACATAGATCTGCCTTATTGAGAGGGGACCTCCGACCACTGTTTCGAGGGGGTACTTTTATTGGGTTTAGTATATTTGGTTTAGTATATACATTAAATAACTTTGTAAATTCTGGGATGGGTCCTGACTCCCCTCTAGATCTGCACTTGTTACAAATAAGTATCTACTCTATCTTAGTGTGGCTAGCAGCCACTAAGTCACAAATCTTCAATTTCTTTCATTTGCATATAAAGAGATTTGCAATAGTTACCGGTAAATAAAACATTATAAATTTGGTATCTTTACAACTAAGAAATTAGAAAAGTTTAATTGTAGAAATAAGAATTTTTTTGTGTGAAATGACTACTGGTATACAAGTTTTCCCTGTACTTCTATATATATATTTTTCTTAAATATATGTAAATGGAACAACCTTGTATTTCTTACATCTTTAAAATATGATCTCATACTTAGATAAGATGGACACTATTGATTTCTGATTCACTGTTGATGGCATGATAATTGGTCAGAATGGAAAAGCCATGACTTATCTTGATTAAGCTCAATCGTTTAGCAGAGCTCTATTATTACCAACAACTAAGACAAAACAAACAATTTTGAACTCAACATGCTCTAAGAGTGTTGCAGATAAACATGTCAAACTTATCTTTGATGAAATTTTCTACCATTCACATGCTAAGAGGCATGCATATTAATTATCACATTTTCAGGGATAAGATGCAATAAAGATGAAAGAAAAATCTTTTCTTTGAAAGTAAACACCAGAGCTCTTTGCACAGCAGGGCATTTTGGCACCTCAGCAGAAATGTTGACCCATGCAGTGGCACTCATACATGCTTTCTCTTTTACATGCATTCTTCCCTTCTGGTATTTGATGAATCTGTATTTAGCATGTTGGTATTAATGTTTAATTAATATTGTTGATGATATTTATATGTAGATTCCTATTTCCTACTCTGATTGAAGTCATTAATCTGTATTTATAAGTCAGTCAGACTTAGAAAAATATCTGTAAAGTAATGATAATAAATTTCAAAAATAGATGCAAGTCCCCAGTTTAGATTTTTTTTTGTATAAAGGATGATATATAATTTTATAAATTATATATTATAAAATTGATTTAAAAGGGTCGAGTGGTTATGGCCATTTTTCAATTACATTCTTTTGATCTCCTTTAGAAGAAGAGCTCCCAGTATTTTTTTTCCTTATATAAGTGGTACTGAAAAACGGCACGGTTCCCACTTCCAAATGCCAAAAACATCAATTTTTCCCAATTCTGTGACTAAAAATTCCCAATTCAAATATGAAGCAAAAGGTTACGAGGACATCATATTTATTTGTTAAATGAAATGCACTTGTGTATTTATGTTAGTTTGTCTTTGTGCAAAACAGACGTATTTGACATAATTTGCATCGAGATCAAAGTCAAATATAATGCTGTCTTGATTTATAGAATGGTCTTTGCGAATGACCTTTTTTCTGTTATTTGTGTATAATTGCAAAAGATTTTAAAGTACATTTAATATAAACCTTTTCATTAAAGATTTTGTCAATAAAGTAAGTTTATAACTACGTTGCTTCTCAAAAATCTTCTTTGTAAACATTTTACTTTAAATCATTTGATTGATTTATTTGTAGTATTTAAAATGTAACATCTATTATAACATGTATTACTAAGTGATAATCAGAGACACATTATCAAATGAAAACTTTACCTATAAAAAAGAAATTAAGAGCACATAATTGGTGCTTGTTTAAAGGGGTTTAAGATTTGATTTACATGTATTACTATCACAGCTTGGGGTACCAATGTTTATTGTGTGTGAATGTGGTAAGCAGCAGGGAGGGTTTAACATGAAGAAGCAAAAGGAATTAAGGGTTGAGGCTTATACAACACTTCATTATAATTCTCTTTTTGAATAAAAACTTAAGATATTTTGACTCCCTGCTAATTTTCAATTTTCAATTCATTGATATTATGTTTATCTACTTAACTGTTATTAAACTTTTAATTTAGTTTTCACTTCATCGAACTCATATTAGATTTTCTGTTTTGTGAATGAAATTATGAGCTTTGATGAGTTTATGCTATACACTTATCCAGGGCTGTAGGACCCCCTATCCCCCCCCAAAAATAATAATAATAATAATAAATTTGGCAAGATTTTATGCTTAATTTGTTTTAGAAAAGTAAGATAATTTTACATTTGTGTCTCCCCTCAATAATTAAGCTAGTATAAACAACTTGTACCATAGAAAATTGGTAGTGTTCTCTAAAAATGATTACATATTACTCATCAACAATGTTATCAGACTGATCTTATTTGAAGATAAATAATTTTTATAAAACTTAAAACAATGTAGATGTGAGTGAACTTGTGATATAATGATTGAAATGATTCTTCATATTTTTTCATTGTTCCTATTTTGATGGCTATTTTTACAAACATTTAAAAAGGATTTTATAATTTATAAATATTAATATATACCTGCAGTTTCCTTGATATATTTTAATTCAATACAAAATAATATTTTACATTCAGTTTCATGGGGAAAGGCAAGGAAGGGGTAAAACAAAGGAGCAAAAGAAGACGGCTGTTAAAAAGATGTCGCCCAAATAAAAACTTGGAGGGAAAAAAGAGACAGGAAGCAGAGAGTCAGCAGGACAGGGCAGAATTTCCGTGTCATCAGAACAGGGCAGAATTTCCGTGTCAGCAGGACGAGGCAGAATTAACGTGTCAGCAGGACAGGGCAGAATTAACGTGTCAGCAGGACAGGGCAGAATTAACGTGTCAGCAGGACGAGGCAGAATTAACGTGTCAGCAGGACAAGGCAGAATTTCCGTGTCAGCAGGACGAGGCAGAATTAAAGTGTCAGCAGGACAGGGCAGAATTAACGTGTCAGCAGGACGAGGCAGAATTTTCTTCAGAAGAAGAGCATGATGGTAAATAACATGTAGTTCTAAAAAGTATTCTTTCAAAATGAAATAATATTTATGTGAACTAAATTTCTTGTATACAATAATGAGCCAGCAATTACAAAACTGTATATCAGCATGAAGTCAGAAATTATTTAGTGAAACTGGAACATAAACTAAGTGTATATTCACTTTTCCCCCCCAGAACTTGACCATAGTGACATGAAGAGAGATGCATTGTTTAAAGATTTCCAAAGATATTTAAAGTCCAAAGCAAAATTACAAAAAGCAAAAGCTGAAGTGGAAAGGTGCAGTGGGACACGTGTGATAAGGACTGAAGTTGGGCAAGGTAAAAACAGATTCAACATCTGATTCACACTATTATCCAGAAATAAATTATTCATGCATGGTTTCATGAACTAGTAGCTGTAAGAAAGGGATATATATATAAATATTTTAGTTTTTCTTCATCTTAAGATTTAAGAAAACAAGAGGCCCATGGGCCACATCGCTCACCTGAGAAGCTTTGACCATTCTGTTCTTTACCAGATTTCCCCCTTGTAATACATTATGTATCCCCACCCTACCCCACTGATCATAATTAAGACATTTTGAAATCAACTACCCCAGGATCCTTCCATGTGCAAATAAGTTTCAGCTTTTCTGGCCCAGTGGTTCTTGAGAAGAAGGTTTTCAAAGATTTTTCCTATATATTTTTATGTAAAACTTTGATCCCCCCATTGTGGCTCCACCCTTCCCCTGGGGGTCATGATTTGAACAATTTAAAATCTACATTACCCAAGAATGCTTCCACATAAGTTTCAACTTTTCTGGCCCGGTGGTTCTTGAGAAGTTTTTCAAAGATTTTTCCTATATATTTCTATGTAAAACTTGGATTACCAATTGTGGCCCCACCCTTCCCCCGGGGGTCATGATTTAATTTAGAATCTACACTATACCAGGATGCTTCCACATAAGTTTCAGCTTTTCTGGCCCAGTGGTTCTTGAGAAGAAGATTTTCAAAGATTTTTCTTATATATTTCTATGTAAAACTTTGATTCCCCATTGTGGCCTCGCTCTTTCCCCGGGGGTCATTATTTGAACAATTTTAAATCCACACTACCCAAGAATGCTTCCACATAAGTTTCAACTTTTCTGGCCCAGTGGTTCTTGAGAAGAAGATTTTCTAAGATTTTTCCTATATATTTCTATGTAAAACTTTGATTCCCCATTGTGGCCCCGACCTTCCCCCGGGGGTCATGATTTGAAAAATTTAATATCTACACTACCCTAGGATGCTTTCACATAAGTTTCAGCTTTTCTGGCCCAGTAGTTCTTGAGAAGAAGATTTTCCAAGATTTTTCCTTTATATTTCTATGTAAAACTTTGATTCCCCATTGTGGCCCCACCCTTCCACCGGGGGTCATGATATGAACAATTTAATATCTACACTACCCAAGGATGCTTTCACATAAGTTTCAGCTTTTCTGGCCCAGTGGTTCTTGAGAAGAAGATTTTTTAATGACCCCACCCTATTTTTGTCTTTTCTTGATTATCTCCCCTTGCGAGGGGATATGTCCCTTCATTTTAACAATTTAAATTCCTCTTCACCCAAGGATGCTTTGTACCAAGTTTGGTCAAAATTGGCCCAGTGGTTCTTGAGAAGAAGTCGAAAATGTGAAAAGTTTACAGACGGACAGACAGACAGACAGACGGACGACGGACAAAATGTGATCAGAAAAGCTCACTTGAGCCTTCGGCTCAGGTGAGCTAAAAATCAATTCAATTGTAAATTACCAAATCAATTAAAAAAAAAAGCAACCTAGGATGATCTTTATGAAATTATTTGGTTGCCCATGTCCATCTGACTAATTAAAACAGCCTGGCTCAACTTTATTTTACATTCCTGGATACAAATATTTTTTTCTTTCATTTCCTCTTATCCACTCAACAAATACACTCTATGTTGTAATTTTCTGGTAAAAAGATTTCCCCACTTCCCTACAGACCCATTATTTTTACTCTTAAGTTGGGAGAGGGCAAGCAGACATTATTTTAAGATGGCCTAATGTCAAATTTGTACTTAGGATTGACATTAGTTTGAATTACTGTCATTAATAAATGCATAATTATACATTTTTTGCTAAATTGGAATATCAAAGCTTATGCTTAATGACTAGAAAAGTTTTTTAAAAATTTAGTAGCGGGTTGAAACAGACAGAAGGGTTCCAAAGAAACCAAGATATTAAGAAAAACTTAAAAAATATTTAAGTGATTTGGTATGCCAAGGGCAAGCAAGCAAAAACTATTTAAGTGATTTGGTATGCCAAGGGCAAGCAAGCAAAAACTATTAATATTTATAGGTATTGGCAATAAATCAATGTAAATTTTGTCTACATGGAAAAGGGAAATAACTCAACTGTTATTATTTTTTTATCAGTATATATATATTTATATTAATAAAAGAAATAATCTTACAAGTATCAAGATGTTTTTCTCTGTGGTAAAACAATAATTTTTGCACAATTTGGAACAATTTTTTTAAAATGTCAGTACACTTTAAAAAAATAAAAATTTTACGATATATATAATTCTGTAAAAAATGCTCAATTGATCAATAGAGTTCAGGCACAGGGGCATCTTATCCACTCTGTTCTCTACTTCACATATAAAAATACACAAGGGAAGAATCGAAAGTAGCACACGATTTTTAAAAAAAGTCAAAAAACAACTTACTTGAGAAAAGTTACACAAATCCTGAAAGGAACTAGCGCAAATAATGTCCTAGTACTTATCCAGGCTAAAATATTCCAGATATATCCATCGTAAATAGCTTTTGTCCAACTAAAACCCCAGCTTTCTGCACAGTGTGAATCTCTACGCCCAAGAAAAGATAACTCACCCGGATGACAATAGGGTAATGCCCGAAGTCTTCCAATGGCACTCGGAAGGCCTCGGGTACTACCCTATTGTCATCCGGGTGAGTTATCTTTTCTTGGGCGTAGAGATTCACACTGTGCAGAAAGCTGGGGTTTTAGTTGGACAAAAGCTATTTACGATGGATATATCTGGAATATTTTAGCCTGGATAAGTACTAGGACATTATTTGCGCTAGTTCCTTTCAGGATTTGTGTAACTTTTCTCAAGTAAGTTGTTTTTTGACTTTTTTTAAAAATCGTGTGCTACTTTCGATTCTTCCCTTGTGTATTTTTATATGTGAAGTAGAGAACAGAGTGGATAAGATGCCCCTGTGGTTCAGGTAAGTAATAATGCTTTCAGCTTTATAATGTAAAGTTGTTTTCTGTTTTTTGCTTTATGAATGTATTTATGTTTAAGAAGCTTAGTATGCAACGGGATATCTTTTATAATTAGGGCTGTCACGGTTAACCGAAAACTCGATTAACCGCTCCGAAATGGCATTCGGTTTGGTTCGAGTCAGGTTTTCCGGAATTCGGTTCGGTTTTTTTATCTTTTATATAATACTAATTTGCTTGCAGCACGCGTTGTGATTGGTTGTTTATTTCAATGAAGGGTTCTTTTTACCAATGAAAATACAGGTAACATCGAAGACATTTAAACATGGCATACACATGTGGAAGGAAAACCAAATTACAAGAAATTGTTTTGTCAACCACGTCCCCTACTTTCAAAAACGTGTAGTATTCCCACACTTGTGATTTGGTGATAACTCTAGTCAATAACTATATTTATTTTATTTTATTTTAAACAAGAAGTTTATTACCTTGTTATTTTTTGTTACATTTAACAACTTGTTTTGTTGAATAAAATGGATAGAAATTTGTGTCAGCAAAATAGTACTTTATACAATGTCCTGAATCCTTATTATCCTTTGATATATATAAAGATGTTTTATTTAAATTCTCAAAATGAAAACCGAACCGAAAAAACCGAAAACCGAGAATTTATTTTCTGAACCGAACCGAACCGAAAAATGTCTGAACCGTGGCAGCCCTACATAAATTCATATTGAGTTTTAATTTTTTAAAATGTTTCTTATATTTAAATCACAGACTTTGAGACATGTTCCACAAAGCCGTATTAAATATGCCTATATGACAAGTCTGTTACTTAAATTCCAAGAACTCAAAAAAAAAATCATAATGATAAAATAAAGATTAAAAGTTGATGCCTTGTTTTTCAGTTAAGCTGGTATTCCTTAAAGAAGAATAAACGTTTTAAGCTAATTTTTGCAAAAATGGAATCAAAAAAGAGGAAACGAAAGGTTTGCCCAGGATGTAATGAGGAGTACTCCTCTAGGCATCTAAAAAGACATGCGTGTCCATCAACACCCGAGGAGACATCCGAGTACAATAGATCAATGGAAGAAGAAGCCAACGCAGGACCCAGTTCTCCAATCATTGACCCGGATCATGCTGAGGAAGATCAAGGCAATACTGGTACCCAGGGTACTCAGTATAATGTTTTTTTCAGAGGAAGATTTTTCAGAAAGCTCTGATAGTCAGGAAGAAATATTCAATGTTGATTGTTTTTTAGAGGATGATTATTCTTCAGATTCAGATAATCAAGCATCATCAAATGATGATGTCAAAGATAGATATATACTGTCATTTTTTATAGCTCTCCTGAAATGGCAGGAGCTTTTTTGTATCAGATCTAGCTTTTTCTTACTTGATTTTGTTTTTTAAATCATTACTATTTTTGGTTTCATCAATGTCAGAATTTGCATCAGGTCTGTACCAAAAATTCCCTTCAAATATATATCAATTGAATAAGTTCATTTCCTTTGAAAGGGACAATTACAAAAGATATGTAGTTTGTCAGAAGTGCTGTGCTATTTATGATTTTGCTTGCTGTATTGAAGAAGTTGAAGGTGTACAAATTTCTAAGAAATGTAGAAATGTACTTTTTCCTAACCATACCTCTGCACATTTCCGCAGATCCTGTGGTGAACCACTTTTAAAGTCTGTAAATATTAATGGAAGAAACAAGTTGGTAGCAAAGAAAAGTTTTTGCTATAAAAGTGTTAAAGAAAGTTTACAGAATTTTGTCA